CTTCAAATGATTTAGATTTTTTTTTTTAACATGCCCTGGTCACAATATGATTTCATTGTTTGAAAAAAGCAGCATGAACATTATGCAAAATGTCTCTGTGTTTTATTGAAGAACGGAGGTAATGCAAGTATTGAACATTAAGGTAAGTAAACAATGACAGAATTTTCTTTTCATTTTTTAAACCATCTATCTCTTTAAAGGTTATTGAAGATCGTAATAAAAATGGGCTTTATTGCTGCTTATGCTGCATTCTCATCTTCGAGCCCATATATATTGTGGAAAAAAGACAAATCTGTTTACCTTATTCCCCCTCAAGAACTAAATGAGCACTTGAGCTCATGAATGAATGTTGTGTTTTATGGCCCAGTTTTGGGTAAAAGGCGCATGGAATGATGGCAGGAGGCTGGGTAGACAGCTGGAGGGACAGCCCTCCTCTGGCCCGCTCTCTCTCTCTCTCTCTCTCTCTCTCTCTCTCTCTCTCTCTCTCTCTCTCTCTCTCTCTCTCTCTCTCTCTCTCTCTCTCTCTCTCTCTCTCTCTCTCTCTCTCTCTCACACACACACACACACCCACCCCTCCCTCCAGCAGCTGTTAGCTAAGGTGATAGAGGAGTGGTGATAGCAGTAGAGGTTGTTAACAACCTGCATGCTGACACATTGGGTTAGAAGAAGTCCCTCTCCTAAACCAACACACAACCATCAACAACACCTCCTTTCCAGAACAATGGAGAGAAGTCTTTTTCATAAAAAATAAAATAAAATAAAATAAAATTCTGGCTCCAGGAACAATTCCTGACCAGTACTGTGGTTTTACCATGGTATCAGATGGTAATAATTAATACCATGGTACTGACCAAAATACAACTTTGAACTCGAAATTATATATATTTAAAAAAAAAAAATACGATGGTATTATGAAGGTACATGTCAATACACATGTTATCAACACGGCACCATGTCCAAAACATGCAAGGAACGGAAGGCACTTTTTGCAAGTATATCACATATAAACATTAATGCGTACTACACTAGCCTTCACGCGCGGGCAAAATAGCCAATGAGACCAAACCAAACAAATATGATTTTTTTTTTTATTTTGTAGGGTGGGGAGTATTAATTGAATGTCCCGAATTTCCTCCCACTCGCAGTGGGACAGTACAATTACAATAGTGAGCAGAAAGGGAGCATTTGCAACTCGACTCCATCTCCCTCCCTCCCTCTCTCGCGCTCCTCCTGGCCAAAACTGCTGAGCTCCTCTAGTGCGCTTCATTCAGATGGATAACTTCAGAAACATGGCTCTGCCAAACACTTCACTTTTACTGCTTCTTCTTCAACTGTGCGCTATTGCGTGGCAAGGTAAGTCAATTTTACCTCATTTTTCCTCGCGGCGCTGTTTTTTGTTGTGGTTTAATTTTATGGGAAACTTTTGGAGCGTTACGACCGCGCGCGTTTGAATGGGATGCATGCGATTGTTTTAGGATGCTGCAGTTATACTGTACCACATTGTGCGGTGTTTAAAACATTCTGTTTGTAATAGCATACATGTATATCGTCCGTTTAAAGTTACTTAGACCACATTTGTAAAGCGTTTTTACCTTGGCTTTGGTATTCGCGTGAGAAAAGTCTGAAGTTTCTCATCAAAACACACTGCACGTGAGCTAATAAATACGTTAAGCTTGTTCACAAACATAGAAACTTTATACTAAAAATACATAGTACTTGTTTATACAATAATACAATATTGCTTTTAAATAAGCAAAGTTCACTTTCATTTCATTTTCATATACTGAATTTGCATAAAACTGTACGTAAACTGTTAAAACTGGCCTTGATACAAAAACAGCAGGTGGACTAAGTGCTTTAAAACAGTGATTTTTTTTCTAAAACATCCTAGAATTGGTATTTCTTAAAACATTTAAACCCAATTACCCTATTTTATCTAGTAATGCAAAGCAAATATGTATTTAACAAAGCAAATATTTAAAGAGGTTTCATGTTAATAACTAGCCAATTTGCAGTTTCCTCTGGCGTTATGAAGTGGTTCAGATCATGGGACTGGTCACAAATACAGGCTTTGTGTGTCTGTTCTCAGATACAGTCTGTGGAACTCATTTATAGAGGGCTCAAAAATCTGATGATATGAGAGATTCTCACAGTGATAAGTAAGCTGTTCACAATATGCTACTCAGTTGTATAATCATACGTTTGTAGGCCTATCCTCAAAACATAAAGCTTATATCTGTGCAAATTGCCCTGTAGGTCTCTTGTACGTGACCTATAGACGACTACCGAACCAGGCCTTCTCATTAGGGAACAGATGATGGACCCCCACTGCATAATCCTCTCCTTGTCCATCTATATCTATCCCCTGTTGTGTTATCCGACTACTTTTTTGTCCATCCTTTTACACTATTTTCCGACTTCATCGCTTTTTCTTTTTCTCTCCCAACATATTTTGTTCAGTGTAGATCAGGACTCTCCTATAATGCTGGTTCTTCCAAAGATTCTTAACAAGCCCCTTTCCCACCTTCTGTTCACCCTTGTGTTAATAAGGTCCTTCCAGTTCCCCAGCAGATGAACCAAAGCTGTCTGTCCTGGGATTATTGAACACCCCGTTAGATAACTGCCCCTATGATTAAGAGGGGTCACCTTGCTCCCTCAATGTGAAGGGGCGATTTTTCATCAAAGAACTTGACATTGAAAGTGTCATCCTTACAATTTATAGGGACTGTGATGTGGATGATAGAATATGTACTGAAAAAAGGCTTTGATTCGTTTTTTTAAAACCTTTTTTGTGTAAATTGTCACACAAATAACCATTTATTTTGACTAAGCATAAAAGACCCAATATTAAAACAGTATCAAATTGTAGTGTATATAATAACATTATATATTAATATCACTCCCCCCCCCCCCCCCCACACACACACTATGACTACTATTATTAATATATATATATATATATATTAATAGTAGTGTTAATTATATTAAATTATTAAATATTATTAGGTCATATTGTAAAATTATTAATAATTTTATTAATTATTAATAGTATTTTATCCCTTTTGTGTAAACGGATAACCTGTTTATTTTAATTAACTATAAGCATAACAGTATCAAATAGTAATATAACATTATTAATACTAATTTTATTACATTTTTAATAATATTTCTGTCATTTTATTATTCATAAATCCGACATATTGGGCTCCTTTCACGGCCACAGCAAAAGTCAATGAGAAATCTTCATATCAATCAGAAGTGAAAACCGGAGCTCTAGTGAAAATCCTAATATAGGACATCCGCCAAAATATGCATTTTTATCCAGATGTCCGTACTCATTCCCTTAAGTTCGTATGAGCTGCATTGTGTGCCAGCGACAAAGATGCCTTGCCTTAGACTTCCTGCTTCCCATAGCAGCCCATGACCCACAGTAGAGGCGATACAATTGAGTGGCTGTTTCTGGTTTGAAGGGGTTTCTATGCCCACAATCTTGGGTTGAGCCCCTGTCTGTCACTCTTGACAGGGAATGTCATGTAAAACCCTGTGGGCTTATTGTTTTGGCCTGGCAGAAGGTGGAAATCAGTGAAGACCTCTATAGGGATAATCGGCATTGTTGTTTTGCAGTTCAGCTTCAGTGAGCAACAACATGTGGATTAGACGAAGATTGAGACCCTTACATATTTGAGTTTAAACTGTCAGTATTTGCAACTGTGGTGCTGAGTATATTGCACAATTGTGTGTTATGGGTATGCAATATGAAACAACACTGATTGTTGTTGGGAAGTTTCTGATTGGAAGGTTCATCTCAAGTTTAAGAGTTAATCTCTTATCTAATCCAATCACACTGAGCCTTTAATGACTCTTACCAACAGGGGGCAGCAAGAAGGCAATTACCTGAACAAAACTGTACACTTGTGTTATTGATTAAACATGCATGCATGCAACAAATATGCATTGTATTTGTAAAACGTCTGTTTGATTGCGTGCTTTGAATTGTGCACTTGTTTCTTACACCATAACTCACATTTACTGCACCATTACTGCACATATTTACCTTTCAAAGTTCAGTTTGAGGTATGCAGTGCTAATTCATAGTGGTATTCATTAGGGTGTACATCTAGTTTTCTTTACCTCAGTCAGAACATTCCTTCCTTATTGTAACATGATCTAAGTGAAACAGTTTATCGAAAAGAAACATTTTCCACATTGGCTTCTTGGCCAGGGACTTCTTGTTGATTGGTTGAGGGAGATCTGAAAGCAGGCTTGCAGTCGAATGCAAGAAAGGGGTGGGGTTTAAGAAGTCCAGCATACATCAGAGAGAAGTCTGTTGTTTCACTGTTAGATTCAGTTATAAAAAAAATTACAAGGTCAAAACATTTTTATAATAATGAAACATATGTAAGCAGCGTGAATCAAATTTGTATTTTCTGTGCCACCAGTGTCACCAAATGGATTCGCAAAAATAATGACTGTTTTCATACAGGTTTCCTTAACCGTCACCCTGTCTGCCATTGGTAATTGAAAGCCCTCATCTTAAGGAAGCCCTGCATAAATAGGCTCTTTCGAAGATGTGTTATTGCATTTAAACACAGCTAGATCGAGTGCAACACATTTTTTTTTAAATAGAACTATTTTTAATGTGCCATGTTAAAATTACACGAGACCTGATGTCCATCTCATATTTGGCTGTACTGTAAAACAATTCTTACCAGGCAAATCATTAATACACGAACTAATTTTAACAAATGAGACCTTATTGTAAAGTGTTACCATATAAAGTACTTGGATGCATCCAAACCAACGCTAATGAGTCATTCATTAATGTTCACCCTGGTAAACCACAAAAATTCACTGTATATGAATCACTGAAAGGTCAGGCAGTAACTATGGTGACCATTTCATATTTTAAACCTGTAAACAAAATAATCATCCCATCAAATCCACTAGACCCTTCAGTGCTCAACCACAGAACAGCCCTTTACTTTCAAACATCAGTATTAGATCTCTTTTGAACATATCCCTGAAGTCAAGGTTTTGATCCTTCTTCTAAGATTTCCCTGAAGTGATGAGCTGAGACAGGCTAGACGACAGCACCGCAGGCCAATCCTTGAAGTCACCCGCTTTGAGTTCAGCCAAAACAATGGCATGAGATTCCTCAGTTAAATGCCTGCATGTATCAGTAGGAAGCCGAATGGGGGGGATGGTAGTTGGAGGTGTGCGTGTCTGAGATCCACAGGTGAGTTTACAGGGTTAGATCACTATCTGATAGAGGTTGCTCTTATCAAAGCCTTTTGTGACTTGCCAATTGTGTCATTGAAAGGAAAAGCCTCTGTGTTTGTCATCTAGTCTTCATCTGAGCTGTATTTGAACAAGGAGATACCTTTAAAGCACTGACTGTTTCAAGAATAAAGAAAACTATGTCTAGTCATTTTGTGAAGGAATCCAGTCTGGCTGCTCCTTATTTTTTGTTGGCTTACTTTTTACAATATTAGTGTGGTGGTCTGGGAAATGTGTCAAACTTGCTGTGGCCACGAGGCCGTCGGAGCTGCCAGCATGTCTCATGTTACTTTATTCAATGATCTGTGTAGAATCTTGCTTTTTTAGGGACGTTCCGAGTGGCACAATCTGCCATCGAAGCAACATTTTGATACAACTAAAGAGTAAATGTGTAAAACCCTGGGCTTATAGTGATGGCATGTTTATCAGAGTCAGATGTGGAGACTGACCACATTAATGAAGCGTGAGAATGAATAACAATCATCCAAGTGCAACGAAGGGGGTGAAGAATTTACAGTGGACGGATGCCAGCTTCTTTTTGCCCCTCTCCCTCACTTTCTCACAGAATGTGTTTTTATTTTTTATTTTAGAAAGCTGTAAAATGAATCCAAAATTAGATTGGTCACACTCAAATTGTCCCAGTTTTTCTTTTCTTTACAGACTGTTCAATAATAAAAAGAGCAATTTCTCTTAAAGGCATAGTTTGTCTGAAAATGAAACTTCTGTCACCATTTAATCTATTTGACTTACTTTATTTTGTTGGAACACAAAATGAGATATTTTGCTGAATGTCCATAAAATGGAAGTGAATGAGGACGGATGACGTCAAGCTCCAGAAGCAAGAAAACACCATAAAGTGGGCCATATGACTTGTCTATATACAGTATATGTAGCGGTCTGCTCCTCACACAAAGATTTTGTATTAGAATATATTATGCATGCAATATCATTACAATTCTTGTCCGAAACTAAAAATCATGGACACACTGGCATGAAAATCACCACTGAAAATTATTCTTTTAAATTATACTTCATTGGGATTTTCTAAACAAATTGTAAAATTGTAATATTTGTCTAAATTATTACAAGGTAAAATCACATTTGTGATGAATAAACTGAACAAGTGGTATGGATGCGTATGGTTCCTATATGTTTTTTTGTTTGTTTTTTGTCCTTGGAGCTTGACAAGTCTCTTCACTAATGTTAAAAAAGTTTGGGTCAGTACGATCTTTACATTTATTCAGCCATACATTAAATCAAAAGTGACAGTAAAAAATGTATAATGTTACCAAAAAATGAAATGTAACTTTCTAAATCATGGTTTCCACATAAATATTTAGCAATACAACTGTTTTCTATGGAAACTTGTTTCCGCCACTGAATAAAAAAATAAAAAAAAATAATTGCGACTTTTTATCTCACAATTGCGAGATATGAAGTCAGAATTGTGAGAAATAAAGTCGCAATTGCGAGATATAAAGTCGCAATTCTGAGAAATAAAGTCGCAATTGCGAGATATAAAGTCGCAATTCTGAGAAATAAAGTCGCAATTGCGAGATATAAAGTCGCAATTATGAGAAATAGTCGCAATTGCGAGAAAAAAAGAAGGAATTCTGACTTTTTTTCTCACAATTGCGAGTTTACATCTCGAAATTCTGACATCTTTTCTCAGAATTGTGAGATATAAACTCGCAATTGCAAGTTATCAGGCCAATTCTAAGGGGGAAAAAAGACTAACTTTTTCCCCCTCAGAATAGTTTATATCTCACAATTCTGACTTTACAACACGCAATTTCGACTTTATATCACGCAATTGTGATTTTATATCACGCAATTGTGATTTTATATCACGCAATTCTGACTTTATATCACGCAATTCTGACTTTACATCTCGCAATTCTGAGAAATAAATTCAGAATTGCGAGATGTAAACTCGCAATTGTGAGAAAAAAAGTCAGAATTGTGAGATAAAAAGTCGCAATTACCTTTTTTATTTTTCATTCAGTGGCGGAAACAAGCTTCCATAGTTTTCAACATTGATAATAATAAGAAATGTTTCTTGAGCACCAAATCAGCATTTTAGAATGATTTCTGAAGGATTTTGTGACATTGAAGAAGACCGTGAGACATTAAAACTTTAGATGGTAGTGTACATGCTTTTGTTTTATGGAAAAGTTACATTTTTTTAAATATCTACTTTGTGTTTCAAAGAAGAAAGGAAAGTCATACCAGTTTGAAATGACATGAGTAGATTCATTTCTAGGTGAACTACCCCTTTAACATTGAAATATGTAATTATTAGACTGCTGACTATTACTTTCTCTATTCCTTTATTTGAAATGGAAGGAGGACATTTTCCCCACCAATACCATTCATAAATAATCTCCTTTTGGATCAATAGCAATTATATGCTTCATGCAACAGTGTTAAGGACACATCTGTAGACAGTTTTTTTTTATGCCATTAAAATAAATGGGAAATACATCGTATGTACTGATAAAAGGCTTAATTTTGCACACCATGTCCCTTGTGATTTTTTGGCTTTATCTCATTATTATTCTCCAGACTAATAACCAGCTTAGCGCACCCGTCCAAAATGCACTATTTAATTGGTTGAACGCAGCCCGTCACTTTTGGAGAGCCCCATCTGTGGGACACGTCACTGGCCAGGAACCGATTCGGGATCTGGCAGAAATCCTCACAATGCAAATGAGATTTCGGAAGTCCTCGATAATGTTTTCTCCAAAATCTCCCTCGAAATCACTGCCTCTCATCGACCCCTCTGTCTTTATCACTCTCCATCTCTCTTTCTCTCTGTGTTTACCATAAAATCCACAGACAGCTGCAAACACCTGGTGGCTAACTCATTCTTGAGGAGGCAGATGTGGATTTTTTTTTTTCTGGATGTGTGTGCATGCGTGTGAGTTAGTAGGTTGCTCATGTTACAGAAATCATACACCACAATAGTAGCACCTCGAGTCTTGCTGTCTGCCCCCATCCCCCACGATCTTAGACGCCTCCTCCCACATCTCCCTCATGCTCGCATGCCCTTCACTCAGGCTTGGCTACCGGCCCATTCAAAGGGAGCCAGGGGCTTCAGGCCCTTCATGTGTTTTATACTTTCTCCAAAATCTTTATTGATTTTTGCAGGCATACCTGCAGTTGCTGTGTTTGTGTTTCAGGTGGTTTCAAGGTAATTCTCAGTGGTCCTGCCAAATAACCTAGATGAAGACTGTTTACTTTGAGTGATGTTATTAGTTAACTTGATTTTTGTATTTTTGGAAGAAACTACTAGTGGGGTTTTGCCAGGCCATTGTTAAGCAGTTACTAAGGTGTCCTAAGTGTTTTTTTTAGTACGTTGGTGGCTGGTCAGGGACAGTCAAACCCCAAAATGAAAATTCTGTCATCATTTACTCACTTTTTTGTCCATATAATAGTAGTCAATGTGAACCAAAACTATTTAGATGTCATTTTTGGGCGGACTATCCCTTTAAGAAGAACCACTTATGACTGTTTCCAAAAAAAAAAACTTAAGTCTAAAGAAGCCTTTTTTTTTCATGACTGGACTTTTTTTTTTGTCTGGATCTATTGATTAATTCAAAAATACATTAAAAATGCTATTCATGCATAAAATGCCCTGCAAACACACATTCTATGATGAGCATTGTTTTAAATTTGAGCATTAAAATTAATTTAGGCATTATTTGGTTCAAAATGTGAAAATTGTCAGGGGGATATAACTGTCCTGATATTATAATGAAGACAAACTTGGCAAACTTTGTCCAGCAAATCAGTCATGTAGATAAAAATCAGTCATGCAGATAAATAAATAAAACAATGAGGATTTTATAAAAAAAAAAAAACATGAAGTTGAAGTAGTAAGAAGGTACATGTGTTTTAAACTGGACTTTTAAAATATTTTTAATTTTCTTTATTGGACACCCTTCATTTCTTCTGAAACAGACATTTTGCAGTTCTGTTTGGTGCTGTTATAGCGTGGCAGAAATTACACACCTTTAAATATACTAGATATATCATCATAAGCTCTTCAGGTGTTAGTGGCATGTGATCCTGCACACGTCCTATTATGTGGTAGAATGGCATGAGATGTATTTCACTGCTTTTTGAAATATGATCAAGCCATATGTCATCCTGTGTCTCTATACGAGTATCTTTCTTGACAAAAAAGCTGTCGAGACATTCATTGTGCTTTTCTGCTGATTACTGAAGGCAAAAATTCCTCAAGAACCACCACACCCTTTGCATCTCTTTGTCCTCCAGCATGTTATACTCTGTTACCATCTTGTCCATACTTTCTTCTTTTTTTCCTTCTCATTTATAAAACAAATGTTCTCATTATTCGTAAGAAATATGCAGGAATGTGCAGAATTTTTAACCAAACTTTACTGGAATTTCTTTTTAAATAGGCCTAACAAAATTGAAGGAATAAAAATAGTCCACAAAATCTGGGTCATCTGAACAGATCAGTCTTGGTGCTTTTTGGCCCAGTTTGTCCATAATTGTCACCTTTTGTTGTATACAGTATTTACCAAGAATATTTATTTTAGTGCATCACTTATATAATGTGTTATCTTTTAACTTGTCTTTGCTTTTAAACATCTTATATATATTCAGTACCATATGTTGTTGGAGACACCAGATTGTGTGGGCAAATTATCTTTTGGCTGAAGAGTGATGAGTACACAGTCTGATAAATATCATAGTGCTAAAGGTTAGCGCTCACTTATTTCAGTCAAATCAGTGAAACAGAAGTAAACAGAATGTTCTTCATCTTTGAAATGTCATCCAGAACCACACGAACAGTTTGCCCTTTCTCTCCAAGAGATGCATCTTGTTGGAGTTGGATTATTTTTTTTTTTGGGTGCAAGGGCACAAAAGTAGGCTTTCGTTTCTTCCATCAAATATATATTAATACAGATGTTCCCTGTCTGGGATAAA